TGCCCGCAACTACGTCGACCTTGCTGCAGTCGAGCGCTTGTTTGAGACAATGTCTGAAACAATCGCGAAAAACGGTCTCACCGCTGATCGAATCTTTAACATGGATGAAACGGCCTTTGCCTCGAGAAAAAAGGGTAGTACTGTTATTGCTTTGAAAGGGTCACAAAATGTTTGGGCCAAGACAGTGACTCCAAATTTTCATTTGTCTATTGTTGCATGTGTTTCTGCGTCGGGTTCAATTTTGCCACCTTTATTCCTCTTTCCTGGTGAAACGGTTGAAAGAATTTTGAGTGTTGAATGCTCTGTGGAAGGTGCAACAATTTCAACATCTCCGAAAGGATTTATGAATGAGGATATTTTTAAAGCATGGATTACACAGTTTTCAAGCTGTTTGACTGTTCAACGCCCCGTTCTTTTGATCTTTGACGGTCTTGCTTCTCATTATTCAACGGAAATAGTTAAATTGTGCACTTCACTCGAGATTATTTTACTGTGTCTTCCTTCAAATGCAACACATTTATTCCAACCATTGGATGTTGCTGTTTTTGGCCCATACAAAACAATGATTCGAAAGGCAATATTTGACGAGATGTTGAATGACGGTAAAAAATGTTACATGCTCGACGGTCGTATTTTAATGCCTACTTCTAGATACCGGCGATTTTCACTCCATCTCGAAGGCGGCGGCGTTGCGAATTTCTTCGAAGGCATGGACGGAACGCGTTTTGCCCGCCAACGCTGTCAGTGGATTCAAGGCGACTGGCTTGTGGCCCCTATCGAAGGAACAAATGACGAAGCGATACGACCTGTTCAAAGACGGAGGGGTGCCTAAATCGTACCTCGAAGCCAATTGGATCGAGCGACGACAAATTCTGCGGGCCGAGGTGCTGGCTTTGCCAGCAAAATCCAGGAAGAAGCTGGCACTGCGAAAGACAATTGATGTTGGAGGAAGAATTCTTACCTTGGTGCTGTTGAGCATGGTCGACAAGACCAAGGAAGACCGCGCAGCAGCCGCCAAGCTGAGGGCCTCCCTACGGATCAAGCGGGGGAAAGATTCCAAGAAGCTTACCTTGTCGAAGACTGCTGCCTTGAAGTGGGCCAGCTTTGCAGCTACGCTGGGCTTGATGCCATTGCCTGATGGACAGATTAGGTCTACTTCCGAGGAGGTAGTAGTATAATACCGAAACAAGTTTGGCTGTTCAGTTCATTTAGTTCATTTGGTTGCATGTCATGTTTGCTGGAAATTCGGAAATGTCACCCGAGAGGCATCGACCGTATAATGGTATATCCTGTCTCTTTATTATATTTTCCTTCCAACATTTAATACCCTATCCCTGCAAAAAATATGCATCTTTCCATAATTTGTTCAAGATAAAAATATGCACCTTCAATTGGTCCTCTCAATATCAGTGAATCTGCTTAGAAAATCTGATTTAACGATGTCAAAAGCAAATGAAACTCGATAGATTGGACGGAATCTGATAGCCCGCTATCTCAGCTTCACAGAGCACAATTTGGAATTTCCGTCCCATTCCTCAGGAGGGAGCTACGAGATTTTTACCACGACGCGATGAAAAAGTGTGCTTAGATTGGTC